CTGTTTCAACTCTATTCAGTCCATTGTTACTTCAAAACCATTTTAATATTTTTCATTATATAAAAGCTGTTCCTCTATGAAGTTAATGAAATTAATGATATTCATATTAAAAAAACAGTTGATGTTTATCAAGAATAAAAAAAAAATCCCTGAGACAAATGGGGAGACTCAGGAATTCTCCCTTTTTTTATTCCAAGCAAGCCAAGGAAGCTCCAGTATACATACATATAGTATATATATATTTAACTGATCATCTATAAGAAAATACATACATTCAATTAAAATAAATACTATACTATAGGTATGTGGTAAAGACTAATTTTGTGGAGCAAAATTCCATCAGAAAGTTTGCTCAAGTTTTAGTTTTTTCCAAAGCATTTGAATCATAGAGCCTACTTTTTAAAATACCAAAACAAATACTTTGGACTTATTGTGTAAACAGCCAAGTTATCATGGTGCATATACCTCTCGTTACAGCTACTCCCTATTCAGAACATCAGAATAAAGACAGAAAGAAGACTGCAAATACAGCTTCAGTTTGATTTCATACTGAAATACCCAGTAAAGGTCCTCTTTGGTAGGCTGGTTGTACCAGCAAAACAAAACAAAATTTATTATTATCATATTCATTCAATACTTAATATGTGCCAGTCAACGTTCTAGGATTTTTGTACATACAATTTCCTTGATGATCTCAAGAACTCTATCAAGTAGGTAGATAAAGAACCTGAGTCTAAGTCACATGGCCAAGGCTACACAGCTCATGAATGAAAGGTCAGAATTCAAATATCTTCTTTTGGACTTTGAGATCTTGTTGTTGACCACCATATGTGTTTACTATTCATAACAGTATCTATTACCCGACTTAGATGAGAAAACTGAGGTTCAAAGCTCAGTACCCTATTCGAAGTTTTTCTTCTATGGAGTCATCCACTGAAAATTAAATCAGGTTAAAAATTATTAAATCAGGTTCTCCTTCAAATCACCCTTCCAAATTACACTCTGCCACTAATCATTGTGATTGGGACACCTTGTAAAGTCACTATTCTTTGTTTTTATCATTTATATTCAACTTATTTCCTTGATTATAAAAAGAGTAATATGTTGAAACCAATAAAAACATATGTTTCATTCCTACAGTAATCAAGAAAAAGTGGTTCTGACTGGAAAAAGCATTAAAAAAAAATGCCCTGAGTTATTTTTGGCCCATACGGTATCCCCAAGACACGTTCTCCCTGTGGACACAAAGCAGCATATGGCTGTTCTTTTCACAATTCAGGCTCTTCTGTTTACTCTGAACCTCTAGGTTACAGTGTGTTTTGTAATCACTAAAAAGGACCACCTGCCTCTTGAGAGTTTCTGCCTAACAAAATAGAGAGACTCGTTCGTTCTAATTCACTCTCAGGTAGACAATACACCCCTCATGTGTGGGCCGAGATTACTGAGTAGAAAACTTAAACAAATCATGCTGATTGTATTGCTAAATTAAGAACATATGTCAGTTTCATAAAAAGAAAAAAGAAACAGTAATGTTTGGAACAATAAAGACAATGCTTTGGAGGAAATGAAATACCTAATATATTTTCCAGGAAAAAGAAAAAGAATAATCTACTTATTTCAAAAATTCAGTCAATCCACTAAGAGATATTCAAGGCAAATTTATTGCATTCAAATATGCCTAACCATATACCCTCTTTCTACAAATTTATACTATGGTTGAACTCAGCCAGAAAAACTGGCTCTTTGAAAACAAGCAGAGTTCAATCCAATAACTGACTGATACATGCTTACCATTGAGAATGTGAAAGCTATCATAAATCTGGTTTAATAGAACAAGAAGAGATAGAATATATGGAGAAGAGTAAATCCTCCTGTCAGTATCCTCCTTTGGCCACAGTGACAATTCCCACTAGAGGCTGGGCCAGATTAGGAACCTCTCTCTAGGCTGCCATTGCAAACCCGTATATATACCTTCATCAGTGCACCTGCTTCGTTGCGCTAGAATGGTTGGTCCGACTGTTTGTCTCTCCTTCTAATCCGTGAGTGCCCCGAGAGCAGGGTTCACCTATTCACTCTAGTCTCAACACCTGTTAACAGAGTATGAGCACAGACTGAATTTACCAAATCCATTCAAAATATAACTGCCTAGGGGATGATACCTACCCACATGGTACCACAGGAAAATAAATTCATCTTATATCAAGTTTACTTTTTGAATGCAGAGAGATTTTCCAAGTATTAAGGCCAATGTCAAAGACAGGCAGAAAGGACTGGCTGTGGGGACAAACAGTCAGCATTTTGAATGCAAAGATTGTCTCTGAACTTTCTCACACAAACTCAAGTTCCTCTTCTAATGGGACCTTCACTTTACCCAGTACACTCATTATCTATCATGTCTCTCACTGACCATGTGGAATATTGAGATATTGGACTAATCATAAGCAACATTTATAGACCTCTGATGTGCCAAACACGGGGCAAAGTTATTTATTGTATTACTTCATTTAATGCTTATTACAACCATATAAGGTGGGTGCTACTGTTTTCGTTTTAGACATGATAAAACTGAGGCAAATAATTTGTTTAGTGCTTTGCCACAGATCTAAGCAGAACATTAACAAGTCAGTAGCTTGCCAAGCATTCTAATACTCCACCTTCAAGCAGGTGACTAAGGCAACTCCTAAGGATAAAAGTCATTTGATTTGACCTGATAATCCTCAGAATTCAATTCTTAATTTATAACCTCTCCCCACAGTCCAATTTATTATTTTTTCTTCTAAGAGCTGCGTTTTCCATTTCAGTAAAACCAGCAATGCTATCTAGTTACAAATGATCATAATCATGCATGAGAAATAATTCTCACAAATTGTTTTGATACATTTTATGAACAATAACACAGTCATAAACATAAAACTTTCATGCACTGTTAAATGTACATAAAAGAGCAGCTTGAGATTGAATAGGAAGTTTTATAACTACATTACGTGTATATGGTGAGATAGGTATATATATGTACTTGTGTGTAAAATTATGTCATGTAATGATATTGTATGTTAGTGCATATATTTCTGAAACATTTGATTTTGCTGTGTAAATCCCTAATCATCAGAATATATTAATGATAGGCAGTTTGACATTAATAAAAGTCAGACAAAAGTAGCTTTCCTATCTTAGACCTTGTCAAATCATTTCTGTCTTATTTCATTTCCCATAGGTCCTCTTTCAAAAGAACTTTTGTCAAAAAGCTATTGATTATCAATAACCTGTGGCACTATCAAAGTTATGTTTCAGTAAATGTCAATTTGGATTGCAGAACAATGGATAAGATTTCATGAAGCACCTACAAGTAGTAAAATATTGCTATGTGGCTTTACGTATCACTACAATAGTTAGAAACATAAGCTGTCTGTGCATTATTAAATGCATAGCTGTAATAATTATCAGGAAGAAAAATAAATCATAATCTCTCTGGTTCTGTAATTTCTCATCGTCTACTTTTCTGAGAACTTGGGTGACTGGTGCTGCATAGACATATCACTTCGGGGGACATATTTGGAAATAGAAAAAATTGATTAAAAATATCAAATTGATGTCTTCTGATTAGGTTCAAACATGAGAAAGCATGTGTACACTCTCACAGTATTATGGTAGCTCTGAGAATCAAGAAGAGGAGATGCTTTTGTTAGAGGAAAGAGTGAATTACACAAAAAAAAAGAACAGAAGAAGAATATTTTCCTAGTTTATTTGAAGCATTTAAAAAACATTCCACTGTCTACTGTTCTTGTAGTTATTTCTTGGCCACCAAATTTCTGTGAATAGTCTTACATTTCTGTGGAAGAGATGCTGGATGAATGAACTCCAAACCTCGGCTGAGACTATAGAACGTGCTCCATCCTTCTCTACACCTAAAAAAGCCAGTGTGCACTAATATGTGGCAAAGGGCTGTTGAAATGTGAAATAATTCTTTACAGTAAGTAGATGCTACCCTCCCTGGCCTCCCCACCCCAGCATCCACAGCCCTGTGCACTGATTTCCTGGACCTCCCTTATCCATCAAGTTCAGAATTGGTTTCCTGTTCCAGAGTCCCTTAGGATTGAAGAGTGATGGCACCTAGTAGCTCTCCCCAAATCCCCCAAAGACCTCTGCCCTAAGAGAGCTCCTCTGAGGGAGTGCCCACCAGTCTTGGACACCTGATGAAGTTCCTCCTCCGTACAGCCATCCCCACGTGCTAACCCCACTGGGTCCCCATCAGATTCCAGTCGAAAGAAACAGAACCCTGGGTGATGGTGTGACACCTTGCAGGCAAATGCCCAGGTGCTTTTGGGTACCAAACCCAGGTCTTGGGAACCTGCTTCCAGCTGGGCTCTTCAAGTCGCCCTCACATGGCCACTTGTGGAAACTGAGAATTAAGGGACCTTGACCTGAAGAGTGCCTGAGGTAGACAAAAACAGCAGGTAGCTCTAAAGGCCGTTAAATAATCTGAACATCACCCTTGGATACATCAGCCTTCCCTGGTGTTGCAACTGAAAGAGGCAATATAAACGCATAGTATGATTCACTTCCATCAACCTGATATAGCCAGAAGGTCTCACCTTGTGATGTGGCAAAGGTGATGTGCCCTTTTTTTAACCCCAAATTTATAAACAAGGGCCTATTCAGTCAATTCCACCCCACCTCCAACACACAGACATACAAAAATTCTACAAAGATTACAACAAATTTCTCTTTCATAAAAAGGCAAAATTCCTGTAAGTGTATAGTTAATTACAGAAAAAAAATCAGATCATTCATTAAATTCTTACAGATATCAGAAGATTTCTCTAAAGAAGATTTCTCAAGAATGTCCACAACATTTCAAAACTGAAGTGAGAATCAAGTCATACATTTTCTAAAAGTTTATTTATGGGGAAAATCTATTCTGGCAAAAGTTACATACTTAAAAATAAAGCATCCCTCCTGGAGAGCTGTACACATTAATAGATGTTTATAATGATACTTGCTTTTAGATGAAGCTGATTGGTCCAGTGGCCGATGACTTTGTACTCTGTGCTTTTGTTGGTTATTTGATACTGGAAGATATCATAACGTCCAGGAGCATCTCCGTTTTCATTAAAAGTGACAGGAGTGCCAGCACTGCCTATAAAGATTTAGAAAACAATGTTAATAAAGTTTTAGTAAGATAGCCCACTGGGCTTATTTTTCTTTTAGAAGGAATGGTAGATAAAAATATATTGTGTGCAGTAAGTGATACAAAGATTGCAATCCATACAAGGTCATTCTTGATAGCATAATATCTTTTACATGAAAAGAAGCCTAGACGTACATACATGAGTAAGATGTGCTTTATTGTACAATTAGAAAGTAAATGATGAGTATCCAAGTTAAGCAATGCACATAACAGCTAAATAAATAAAAGTTGATAGGCTGAATATTCAATACTGGCTCCATAGTATGATAGTTAATAGAGAAAAATGTAAATGTTTTGAAGCATGACAGCTATTGTACAATTCGAACTACTAACAGCAGTTCAAATTATAGCAGGAGAATGTTCTGGCCAGATTCCTGAGTTTTGCTTTTTCTAAACTCTCTAAAGCAGTTGCCTTTTCAGTTCCTGTGCCTCTGCTACTTCTGCCCCAGAGTATATCAATGGGGTCTACTGTTGGGAACCACTCAATCTATGGGAAGTCTCAACTCTGGTCAGATCATAAATGTTCTCCCCCTTCACAGTGACAGGTCTAAGAGTGGCAGAGCAGCAGGATGCAAGAACTGTAGTCTTTTCTAAACTCCATTCCTTTCGGAGGTTTTCATCTTTTCTCTTAATAGTTTCTGCTCACTTTTACTTTCCCTCTTACTAACTTTTATGTAATTACAGGGGAAGAGTAGAAATGGATCACCACCCCAATGTGTCCTTGTTCCATCTAGCTTCACTATCCATATAGAATTTCCTTTTCTCTAATAGCTTTTAGGCTTCTGTACATTTTTTTTTATTCTTTCCTATCTTGAAAAATTCACATGACACCAATCCCTTTTCTCGGTGTCTGTCTTCTCTCTGCAGGCCTCTTCTCTGACTCTCTTCTCACAGGATATTGGATTTAATTTCTATAATGTGCTAGAGAGTTTCTCCTTCTTGTTATCTCTGTCTCATACTATATTCTCCAAAAGTATACATTACTAATAGTTATATATGTCAACTACATATTCCCATCTTATAATGAGTTTCTTATTCTATCTGTAGAGTTGTTTACCTAATTACCAGGCATCACAAAATTCCAAACTATTTAACTTATCAAACAAATTGATGACTTTATCAAAAAAGACAATGAGCTGTAAATAAATTTAATCAGAGTCACATAGCAACAATGTGAATACTTTTCCAGTATTTAATGGACAGATGTCTAATATTCTGTTTTCTTGATTCTTCCTAAAAAATCGTGGTGTGAGTTCTCTGATGAGACTACAGATATCTGGTATCATCAGGAACTGCTGAGGCTGCAAGAGATGGCACCACATGGGAGAAAGACCACTGCTCTCAGAACTGGAAGTTCCATGTCCAGGCTCACTCCATTCCCCATTGATTTCCACAACTTGTGTATGTCCCTTTTCCTTCACTTACCACAGTGACTTAACAATAAATATGGATAAATTTTGAGGTCCTAAAAGAGCTGTATACATGTAAATTATTATTACTATTATTAATTCACATGGGAAATGACTTTATATATAAATCAACAGATGTACATTACTCAGGGAATAAAATAAGAGCTCTCCAATCAGGCTGTGCTATCTTAGCTACTCCTTATATATTCAAGTGGAACCTATTTGCCAAACCTGACCAAAGCCTTTCTCAGCTCCTAGTGATCACGAGCAGGTTGACCTCTTAAATCCTCACTTCCTTCATCTGTAAAAATGGGAGTAATAATGATACTTTTCTCAAAGAGTTGTTGTGAGAATTAAATAATCAACACTTGTCAAGTGCTTAGAACAGTGCATGGGGATAATTAAATTATTCACTCCACATTTATTTTCAGTACACACCAACACATAGTAATAGAAAGGATGTTGAAAGTTCTCTAAGTGATGGCTAGACAAAAGATTATTGAAATTCAAATGAGGAAGATATTTCTGACTGGAAAAACACATATGTTAAGAATTTCACATTAACACGATCAATTCCTGACATTTATATGCCACTGTGAAATATTTTAATTGCATATTCTCTCCTCAATAAAGGGATACTTAATTCTCTCTACTTAAAATATCCCAAGTTGTCACCTCTTTAACTGAGGGACTCCTTATATTCCACAACAGCAGTTCCCAATCTTTTTTACAATCACAGTACCTAAGATGAAATAATGTCACTTGTATAACACATTACCATGAATATACCCTGAGTTATACATAATTCCTAATGTGCTAGCTGTTTCTATATCCAAGTCAAGAAAGCCTCTCAAGAGAGCTCATTGGAGAGCTACATTGTCACAAAATACAATAATTTCCAACTTAGATACTTTGAATATCATTATTAAGATAAGTTACACTACATCTGACAGTGTATTAAGGTTCAATATTCTAAAGTAGTTATGAATGTGGGTTCTGGAGACAGATCATTGGGTTCAAACACCACTCTGTCACTTATTGACGTAGTATCTTGAGTGCATTTCTTAATTTCCCTATATCTCACATTTCTCAGTTATACAGCGGGCTAACAGCAATTCCCACCTCAGAGGAATATATAAGGATTAAATGAATCAACATATATAAAACATTTAGTACATCATATTACATATTAACTATAACTTCTTCTGTTGTTTTATGGAAATGTTGTGTTTGAGAGCCACTGTCTATACGAGAACATATAAACTCAGTGAGCACGTAAGTTTTCATGATGTCACTCTCATTAATCTCTGTTCTCTTTCAACACAATGCCACTTATACCTAAAATGCAGGTCCCTAAATTCATCATGCTCTGTCTCACCGTTCTGTCTTTGCTCATGCTATTTTCTCTAATTTCCCATTCTCTTTCCTCCTTACCCCTCTCTATATAATTCCTTCAAGATATGGTTCAAGGTCCATGCACTTACAGAAGCTTCATCTTACTCCAACCCTGGGGAAGGTGCCCAACCACCTCTTTATGTCCTAACATGCAATATCAAAGCCCTCGCAACACTCCACAGACTTTTACTATCCATCCTGTACCTGACCAAACATTTATTCCACAGATACTTTTTTAGAGCCCACTATGTGTTCAACATTGGGTGGACCCTCTGCAATCCTCACAAAGCTATGGTCTTCTTAGGAAAGGCAAAAGTATCTATTATCACTGTAAGCACTGCAGCAAAGACAGTGCTTAGTCCCAAGCGAGTAATCAATAGATTATAGGAAAGCATGAAAGAGGCATCCACTAAAGATTCCAAGCAAATCCATGCTTCCCTCTTGGTGACATTATGAACTTCATGTATATTTCCTTCCATCTTTTGTATTCACAAATGGAGAGAACAAATAAATCCTCTCACCTTGCTATTAATGTGACATTAGGGAAACCACAGGGAAACTTTGACATATCTTTGAATGGGCTCTGCGTTAATTACCGGTAGCTGAAGTGGTTTTTATTACTGATCACCTTTGCATCTTGTTTTCCTAAAGCGATTTCTAGTCTCAAACTAGGCTTGCAGTTGAATTACTTCAACTCTCTTTCAGGAAGAATTGATTCCATTACATATTGACTCATTTCAAATGACTGCCATGGAACTCTGGTCGATGTAGAAAGAGCATCGTTGAGCAGCCATAAGGAACTAACTCATTAGCTGTTTAATAATTCCCACAAGTTTGCCATCTTTTAAAAATACCATTGTTTGTACTGAAACTGGCCACTCTGAGAAACAGAATTAAGTGCCAAATATTTTTTTGTCCACAAAAAAATTTCAAATGACAGATATTTGTTAATATAGTCATCAACTTATCAAGGTTTAATAACAACACAGGTAAGAAACAAAATTTAAATATATTTGATTAAGCAATATTCACACATATTTTATATGATAAATTATGCTCATATTTTCCTGTTTTGTTTCTCTCCATCCTACACTTTAGGTATTTCATAAATTTTGAAGTGTATTAATTTTGTTTTTGAGGAGGGTGGAGGACAGGGTCTCCCCTCTGTCACTCAGGCTGGAGCGCAGTGGTGTCATCTTGGTCCACTGCAACATCTTCCTCCTAGGATCAAGGGATCCCCCAATCTCACTCTCCTGAGTAGCTGGGACCACAAGCATGTGCCATCGTGCCCGGCTAATTTTTGTCATTTTTGGTAGACATAGGGTTTTGCCATGCTGCCCAGGCTGGTCTCGAAGTCCTGGGGTCAAACAATCCTCCCACCTTGGCCTCCCAAAATGCTGGGATTACAGGCATGAGTAAACGTGCCCAGCCAAAAGTGGATTAATTTTTTAAAATAGTTTTCAGGCTGGGTGCAGTGGCTCATACTTGTAATCCCAGCACTTTGGGAGGCTGAGGTAGGAGGATCTCTTCAGGTCAGGAGCTCAAGACCAGCCTGGATGACACAGTGAGACCCCCATCTGTACCAAAAGAGAAATAAGCCAGGCATGGTGGCGTGCGCCTGTACTCCTTATTACTCAGGAGGCTGGGGTGGAAAGATCGCTTGAGACCAGGAGCTTGAGGTTACAGTGAACTAGAATTGTGCCACTGCTCTCCAACTCCAGGTGACAGAGCAAGATGCTGTCTTCAAACAAGCAGACAAACAAACTTTTCCATCCACATTTTCTAGTGAGGAAATGGAAACAAGCAACATGGAATTGTGAGGTAATGTCTACTCATCAGGTGCTACCCTTAGAGGTCATACATCTCCTTGAATATTTTCTGTTCAGTAAGAAATGTGTCAAAAAATATTTTTATTCGTAGGCATCTCAAACATTCCAACATGGTTTTGTAGGGAAAATAATACATTCAACAAAGATTTTTTTAAAAAAAAAAAGTTGGCTCTTTTGAATATTGTGCAGGGGAAGAATATGGGCTTGGGATACAGGGACTAGAGTCTGCTTTCTCACTCTACCAATTACCTGTGTGATCTGAGTAAGTTAACCTCCTTAAAAGCCTGTTTTCTCATCTGCCAAGCAGGCATAATAA